TGGTCTTCCTCTAGTACCACTACATTTCACTTAGCCCCATTTCAATACAGTCCTCAACTGTGGGGTCTGAGTGCCTGCTTATGAGCAGGTTTCTGGCCTTCCACAAGGCATACCTGAAGCAAAAGATGAACTGGTTGAAGCGAGCTGTCGGGGCCCCTTGCTGTTTTGGCCAAGTGCCCGTAGAGGGCCGCTTCTCTGGTCAGGGTTCTATAACCTGTCACCAGCAGAATGAGTACACATACTTTCTTCCACACCTCTCTGGCATAAGTGCAATCGCAGAAGAGGTGGTCAATTGTTTCCGCCTGCCACCCACAGGCTTGCATCAGGCAATGGGATGGACCTCTGTGCCCTGCATCGTTTTTCCACACCCACAAGGGGAGTGCCCAATGAGTTGCCTGTCAGTTCAAGTTTCTGTGCTCCTTCTGCAGGTTGTTGTGGAAGATTCGATCCACACAACCTGGCAGGTGTCACCAGGTAGTAAAGTCCATGGGCAATATGATGTCTCTTGCTCTTACCACCTCTTATATCTTGCGGTGGTTCATCAGGGTCACTAGGGCCGCATCATGCAGTTCGTACTTGTCCCAGAAGCATTTCAGGACCTTGTAAAACCATGGGGACACCATGGCCCACAGGCTCCCATTGGTCATCATGTATACCTGCCACTGTCACAGCAGCTGCCCTGCAAAACACAAGGTAGGCTGTTTTGGATTCTGCCCCTGTTGCCAGTTCACAAACCTGGCTCATGTAATTGGCCCAGAGGAACAGTAGGATGTCTGGCATTCCTCTGGCTCTGGATCATTTTGTTTTGTGCAGCTTGGTCCTTGCCACTTTCTCCTATGTTGAGTTCTAAAGGAAAACACAAATAGCACCACCTTCATCAGCACCACACCCCCCCAAATGAAAGGCAACATACTGATTGGAACCTACCACAAGAATAAGTTAATGAAACCCACTTGAATAAGATACATAGTAATGCCCAGTCCCCTTCAGTGCCGACTCTTTTTAAGGCATGGTGATCATGTACATTTCAACTTCTTCACTCCCACAGCTAAGCTGTGCCTTTCTTTCCCATTTCCAAAGATTCCTATTCCTTCACTAGCCTTAAATAATCAGGCAAACATCAGCAAACAGAGTCCCAAACAGTTTACCCAGAATCCCTTTGTTGCCCCCTCTCTCAGCCTGTCGCAGTATATATTAATGTGACCACACCCTCCATGACCAGGTTGCCCTGCACCTTATCAATATATAAGTTTTTGGAGGATCCCAGGACTCGTGACAAATGTACCTGGTTCCAGTAATTATGTGGGGCTAATTAGCATGTGGATCCTTTTTGGGGGGAGGGGATGTATCTGAAGTCATTATACATACTGAGCAGTGCTGAGCAACGGGGTCACCATGGCTTGAAATGCTGTCGACTCTCCTGAGGCCCAGCCCAATGAACTATACAGTAAATCATGAGCCTTTTGGTTTTAGACTACTATCAAGCATAGTAAGAGTCCTGGGTGGGACAGCCTGCCCAAGGAGTTTTACCTGACCTTCTGGGACCTGGTGGGCCCAGACCTGCTGGAGCTCTTTTGAGAGCGCCTGCAGGAGGGCCGGCTACGAGCGGGGATCGAGCAGAGCCTCATGAGCCTCCTGTACAACAAGGGTTTGAGGGAGGAGTTGAAGAACTGGAGGCCAATCAACCTCCTGAACTTCAACTATAAGCTGCTGGCCAAATTCTTGGCCGAGTGATTTAAATCCATCCTAGGTGTAGTCACCCACGAGGATCAGTCGTACGGTGTCCCGGGGAGACAGATCCACGGAGCCCTGATGCAACTGAGAGACGCACTCCAGCTGTGCAGGGAGAGAAGGCAGAGCATCACCAGCCTAAACCTGGACCTGGAGAAGGCCTACGACAGCGTCCCATCAGTTCCTGTTCCAGATGCTGGAGCGGGTGGGAGTCCCTGCGACCTTTGTCAGATGGATCAGGATCCTCTACATGGAAGTGAGCAGCAAAGTTCAGATCAATGGTTTCCCGAGCGCCTGGATTGCAGTGGAGTTGGGGGTCTGGCAGGGCTGCCCACTCTCCCTGATCCTGTTCATCCTGTTCGAGCTCCTGGCCCAGCACCTGAAACAGGACCCAGGGATCCGCGGAGTTCACATTCTGGGAAGCAGCAACCTAGAGGCCAAGGTCCTGGCCAACATGGACAATTCGAACACTCTATGCCAGAACAGGGGGTCGGTAGAGAGAGCCCTGGCACACAAGCAGGTGTACGAGGTGGCAGCAGGAGCCAAGCTCAATGTGAGCAAGAGCACCTGCCTGGCCGTGGGCAAGGTCAAGGACCTGGAGTCCATGGGGGTCTCTGTCCTCTGTGAGGGGGTCAAGATCCTGGGGATAGATTTCGACCCAAAGCTAAGCGACAGGACAGCGTGGGAGAAGACAAGAGGCAAAGGTAAAACAGAAACTGGGACTGTGGTGCATGCGTTCCCTCTCCATTGGGCCGGGTGGGGGCCATGTCACGCTTGTGAAGGCGGTGGTGTTACTGGTGCTTCTGTAGACCACACTGGTCTTCCTCCCCTTCCGAGCGTGTCACCCATAGGATCCAGAGGGCCGTGGGCATCTTCTGGGGCTCCAGATGGGAAAAAGTCACCCAGAAGACCTTGTACAAAGACAAGAGGGCTGGGGGCAGAGGCATGACAGACATCCTCCTGTTCCTGTGGGCCAAGTATATGAGCCTAATCTGCAAGCTGGCGACAGATGCAGAATCCAAAACCACTCTTCTCGTGAGGTACTCTGCAGGACACATCCCGAGACACTGAGGGGTATTCACCCCAACTAGCCATAGACCATGGATAATGGATGCACCATGGTTCTACAAGGCCCTGAACCAGTGCCGCAGTGTGTACGACCTGCAGAACGCAGGCCCAGAGACCATGAGAAACCACAGGAAGATCCAGGAGACAAGTGAGACTAAGGGACAGTGAGACTAAGGGACACCACGTTGCCCACTGCCCACTTTTCCAGTCTGTCTGTATCTGCCTGAATCTGTTCTCTGCCCTCCAATGTGTCTACTTTGCCCCATAATTTGGTGTCATCTGCAAACTTGGACAGTGTGCTCACCACGCCCTTGTCCAAATCACTGATGAAGATATTGAACAGCACTGGCCACTGCCCACATCTTTCCAAGTCAAGACCGACCTGTCCACCACCACTCTCTGGGTGCATCCCATTAGCCAATTAGCCACCCACCTAACCATATCGTTCTGGATGAACTGATAGTCTATAGGTACCCATAGTAATTTGCTTGTATGAAAATTACTATACACACACACATATATTTTAAAAGTATATTTATGAAGTACCTGTTATGAAACTTGCAGCAGTTTCAAAACAGGTAAACTGTTGGCAGGAAAGAGAGCTC